TTATCTGCCTCGACCGATGATTCAGAATCATTTACCTTCTGGTTGGAACTGGGTTAAGGTGTTAGAATCTCTGAAGGGCAATAAATTAAAAAGTATATTAACAGTTGACATGAGGAGGGTTGAGGATCCAACACTAAATCAAGAGGTGAGTATTTAAAATTTAGACAACGGTTAGAAATTGGTTAATATTAGAGCTAAAAAGACAGATGCAGCATGTGGCATAATTTCTTAAGAAATTTCTTTCTTGTTGTTTGTTTGTTTGTTTGTTTGTTTGTTTGTTTGTTTCAGCCCCCTCAGAGAGATTAAACTGCTTCACACCAGAGGTGGGGACTCGAGTCACATGACTTGAACTTGCGTCGTTAATATTAAGACTTTAGACTTGACAAAATGTTCAGAGACTTGTGACTTGACTGACTTTTACACCAATAACTTGGGACTTGAATTGGACTTGAACCTGTTTACTTGAAAAGACTTGATATTTTACCCTAAATCTAAAGTTTTAAACACATATTAATAATATTTGTTAATGGGACCCACTTTATAAATAATATATTATTTATAAAGTGGGTCCCATTAGTTCGGTTCACTCATTCTGTATTAACAGACGCAGATCGTCTGTTTTTCCACACTCCATACGTGCGTGTGCGTGAGCTGCAGCACAACCGGTCAAATTAACATGATTTTTAAAAATCAGAAAAACAAACAAACAAACAAAACAAAAACGAGCGATGAAAAAACGCTCAAGGCAGATATGCTCCTACGAGTAATTTCTTTTGGGTACATAAATTACGAAGTACTCAATAAAAAAAACGAAGTGCAACATGCGAAACCTGCCAGAAGAGAATCACGGACAGAGATGCAGCAACTTCCAACTTTGTTCGACATTTGAAATTGCACAAAGAACGGTAGGTGGCACTTTTCTTCTGCTATGAGACAGCTGACATGTTTTATCAAGATGTGAGATAAATACAGGTTTAAAAAAGAACACGTGGTTTATTATTTACATTTAACATATAACTGCAACATTGTTAACAAACAAAAAAGACTCGAAAGGACTTGAAACTCCAAGTTTCAGACTTGGGACTTGACTGTTGCTTGTCTTTGCTTGAGACTTGACTCGGGACTTGGGGATAAAAACTTGAGACTTGACTCGGGACTTGGGGATAAAAACTTGAGACTTGCAAAACACTGACCTGGTCCCACCTCTGCTTCACACGGACTGATACAATCATGGAGACGCTGCTTTGTGACAGAAAGCCTCTTTCATAAAATACTTCAAGCCCCTGACGCGCCTTTGCATGGGGAGTTGAAGTCAACCTGCCTCTGTTATGCCTCTGATCCGTTAAGCGAGGTCGTGACAGCACCTTAACGACTGACACGTGCAACCAGAACTTAAGCGCTCCATGTCAACCCCACTGAGTTCTACTCCACGCCTCCTTTGCTTCCTTCATTCATGGAGCGCACGTTTTAACAGAACACATCTTCTCATCGCAGGACTGTTTATCGAAAGGAACAAATGTTTCTTGTTCTTCTTTCCTTGAACTTTAATGTGCAGAAAAACGAGAATCATGAGATGATCGAGTTCTTAATGAACCTGGTCTGTTTTAAGCTGAACTGATAATCAGTTTGGATTTCGTCCCCTGAGGCAAAGTGAACGTTGTTAAAGTCAGGAGGGCAACATAAACGCCGAGCTTTGAAGTGCCATCAGATAAATTAATATTCTGCTGTCTCTTGAGTTAATGAGAGATTAATCTCTGCTGAAGACGACGACAGGAGGCTCACAGCGCCTGCGTCGTCTTATTGAAGCTGGGAGATGGACAGCTCATCTTGAGCGTAGTTTTTTATGTTTGTTCTCCCCGGCCCCCATGTGGGAGCCGACTGCCACGCCTCCGTTTGTGCACGTGAACGCCTGCGTCTCTGAATGTTCAGCCGAAATCTGCTGCAGCTTTTGTTGCCAGCCACAAGCAGAAACCTGAAATAATCTGCCGGCTTTAAATGTTTGCATCACCGTTCTTCTTTCGTATGTGTGCAAAATACTTTATTCTAAAAGGCAAAGAAAATGTGTTAAAAATCAGACTGCACAGTTAATTACTAATTTATTGTCCGTACAGTAATATCGCACGGTTCTGCTTGGACTACAACAAATCCTTGTCGATTTCATTTAAGCTCCGTGCATCGACTTCCTGCGCGTCGTCCTGATGATCCTGTTCACAGAAGAGAACATGTAGGAAAACTGCAGCTGATCTTGTCTTCACAGTATTTAACTGTTTCATCCAGCGCACGAGCTTCTAATAAAACAACTTTATTTATAAAGCCCTTAAAAAAGTGCAGAAAGTTGAGATCATTCCAAAGGAGATCATGTATCGATTTAACTTACATTTGTTGTTTCTAAACCGAGCTTTCTTTTATTCTTCACCGGCTGAACGTTTGATTATTTTATTTAAATATTCGAGTGTTTTGTAGAAACTCTTCATTATCGTCCTTTGCCCGACTCGTAAGAAAGTTTCCTGCCGGCAACCTTCAAATTGAATCTAAAATAAAATGAGTTTAAAAGACAAAATATAAAAGCTTTCAGTCTTTTAAAGGGTGGCTGTGGCTGAGTGGTTAGAGCAGTCGTGCTCCAATGCAAGAGCTGGAGGTTCGATTCCACCAGCAGTCACATGCTGAAGTGCCCCTGGGCAAGACACTGAACCCCTCATTGCCTCTGATGTGTCCCATCAGAATAAGCTTTATTATCATTGTACCGAGATACAGCGAGAATATCAGTGCATGAATGTGATACAGCTCTGATTAATCTTTGTAGAGATCTAGTATAGAGCTGTATGAACGGGTAAATGACACAGATTGTTGCAAAGAGCTTTGAGTGTCTTGATGAGATAGAACGGAGCTGTATAAGTACAGTCCGTTCATCCATTTACCATTCAATGAAGCATCATTTCATGTATTCATGTCAACATCATTTAGAGCAGCTGTTATGGTCAAATGAAAATCTGAAGCTCAGATACTTTAAAGCTGAGATTTTATTTTTATTTTTATTTTGAAAACCATGCTGCAGGTACATATGAACACTGAAATCTTATTCAGTTCAATGCAGCAACTGTAAATCACATTCGCCTCTCCTGGTGTGCATTCTCGTTCGTTCCTGCAGCGTTTCAGAGTCGTATCATCAAAGATTCTTAAATATAGAAAGGTTCGGTGCAGCAGCCCATCAGGGTGCTCAGATCCTTCAAGTCCGTGGGTGTTCGGAGAAAGAACTGAAGTGTGAAGCCTCAAAAGTTGGAGTTTAAATCCCAGAGGAAAGCAAAGCAAAAAGAGGAAACAAGGGTGGATGTAAAGAAGGCAGCTCCCTGACACGGCTCCTCTTTGTCCGGCTGCGTCCCGTCCGTATGCAAATGCTAATTATGCTAACGAGCGTCCCGCTGCAGCCGCAGCAGAAAAGGCCTTCATTCAGGATCTGCTGCCGGGCTGGCCTCCGTTCTTCTCAGCAGCTCAAATGAGCCATCAATGGGCCATCGGGGGGAATAAAGGGGGCATTACTATCTGGTATGAAAGCCCCCACTTATTTTGAGCCCCCGCCCCACACACGCCCACTGAGGTTACAGGGTGACGAGAGTCCCCCGGAGAAGACCTTGGACTGAAGCAGTTCTGTCAGTAAAACTGACCTCAAAGATTTTGGCTTTGCTTTTCTGAACCGTTGGTTCAAAGCTGCTGTTGGAAAATAATGAAGACCGGTCGCAACACACGTCATAAAGTTATAAAACTAAACCGCGCAATATTTTTCTCATTTCAACGATAAACCTTGATTAAAATATCTGTAGATGAAACGAGTAAGCAGCTGCCCACCATCACGTGATTGAAGAAAGGTCAACAACTGCGACAGTCGTAGAATAATCCGACAGATTTACGTGTTTACGTTCAGATGTGTTGCGTAAAGTTTACAGATTAAAACATTAATAAGTTTAGTAACATCTGCATGTGTTTGAGTGCAGAGCTCAGTCTTTCTGGATCCTGGATGTTTGTTCTGGACGGTTGTTGTGCTCGTTCTCTCACGTTTAGCAGCAGATTAATTTTTCCTCCTGAGCGTCTTTACCTCCACAGATTACCTCCACAGATTGCAGCCGGCCTGAAGGGCTGCAGCTCAGTCACGTCTCAAACTTCTGCTGTGCTTCGTTTACGTTCAGTGCATACCTGCACGTCAGGATTGTATATCTGGGAAACGAATGAAGTCAACGTATTCAGACGATACAGTTCAAGATGAACGTCTTTACAGATGATTCACTTTGTGTCCTTTAATAATTATTGTAATTAGGTCCTTATTAATGTAATAAGGTGTCCTTTAAAATGCTTTAAATAACCACTGGCTTGTTTCATGTTCTTTGAGCTTCTGCTTTTGATTTTGCAGCTTTTTCCACACTCAGTGGTCTGACATTAAACCTTTACAAAATGACTGAACTTATATCAAATAAGAAATCATCAGGTTTCATTTCTTGGCATCATGTCAGACTTGCAGACTTCTTGGTTCGGCTGATTTCTTTTGTTTTGTCGCTGGTGTGGTCCGCTTGCTGTCAGTTCACGCAGTGACGTATCTCTTAACTTTGTGCAGTCTTATCTGTATTAATCTTAAATACCAAAATAAGCATTGCTAGCTCGGGAGCTCCACTCCTGCGCTCCTACTCTCTCCACATCACGTGTCCTCATGTCTCCTTCATTTCTTGTCAAGTCTCTGTGGAATCTGTTTAGTTAAACTTCCTCCTCAATATTAATAAAAGCTGCAAAATACACAAAAAGTGTTTAATTTCTGTGAAGTGGAGTCCAGCTGTAAGCTTGAATGCAGCGTGTCGACCTGTGTGGTTCTGAGGACACGTCCTGTTCCTCTCATGCAGCATCATGAGCTGGTGCTGCAGGTCCTGTCTCACACTCAGGGTGGACTTGTGTTTCTTTGTCTTGTCGCGAGAACGTTCCTCAAGCACCGATACATCAACCTGACTCTGTTTCTCCAGATGCCTGACCATTTCGACCAGACGGTGGTTCTGAACCAGCTCAGATACTCCGGCATGCTGGAAACGGTCAAGATAAGACGCACCGGCTTCCCGGTCCGGAGATCCTTCCAGGACTTCTGCTGCAGGTCTGGAACAGCCTCCGACATGCTGCTTTGGTTTTTTTTAAGCCTGCGGGCCGTGGCGTCTTTGTAACAGGATTAGATTGCACTTTGACCGAGTGGCCTTCTATAAATGGGAGCAGAATTCAGTTATGGCTCTCGTTGGATTAAATAAACACGACGTCATCAGGAAAATGTTTGCTGGAGCCACAGATCAGCTGCATCAGATCTAGGAGATAAATAGATCCCGTACTCTGAATCTATAACGTTCAAGACTCGAAGCTCTCCGATTCTTGGTGTGACCCAAAGCTTTGCTCCTCCTCCAGGTACAAGGTGCTGATGAAGGGTTTGCTGCTGTGCGAGGAGCCCAGAGGGCGCTGCAAGCAGCTGCTGCAGCTCTACGACAGCAGCAGTGCAGACTGGCAGCTGGGCAAGACCAAGGTGAGCGTCAGTGGCTTTAAAACTCATCACAAGCTCCCTCTGTTGTAAAAATCCTTGTTGTTGTTGCTTTAACCATCAGATTGAGTTCTTCTGGTGTTCTTTGGAGCTAAGCTGAGGTCAAGTCAACTTATTCTTTGTTAAATAGAAAAATAAACTGATTTAAAGGGGCCAGAGAAGAACCCCATCAATTCAAGCATCCCCAGAAGAATAGTTTTAAATTGTTACGTCTCCTTGAGCTTATTGAGAAACGTGAAAAAGTCAAAAATCTAATTTTCTCTAAAAATCTCTGCTGGTTTCCAGTTTCCATCAGCAGCTGATGTTCCTCAGCTCGGCTGTCTGCAGCCTAATTGACTCTCTCCTGTCAGACCCTGAGCTCCAGAACGCCCTGCCATCCTTTTTGCCTCCGGCTAACTCCGGTTCATGCGTGTTCTCCCAGCTAACACGGAGTCCGATTGGATGCAGGCTCGCTTCACGACCGGAGGAAACGCCAATTCGTTTTGGCTTCAGTCTGTTTCTCTGGAGGTTTAATTGGCTTCTTACAAACGCAGCTCGATGAAACCATAAGAAGTCTCCGCCTCTGCGACTGCAAGTTGTGTAGTGTGTGTGTGTGTGTGTGTGCGTGTGCGTGTGTGAATAATTGAGGTCAAAAGCACCTGAAGCGTAGAATCCAGCAGTTATTGGATTTGTTCCTTATCCTGTCCTGTCTATCACTCTGTGCTTCCACCACACCGGTTCAGGAAGTGTACACGTGCGTGGGTGTGTGGGTGCATGCATGTTTGTGTGATTTCATTGGGAGAGTGACAGATGGGGACACAGAACCCTAATCGCAGCGTGACTGTGCGCTGCCGCAGGAGGTGACAGCAGTGCTCGGTAACATATTTTTGTGTTCATCTCACTGAAAGTATATTTGCATTTTGCCATAAAACACCCAAATAGACACTAAATAAATATTAGTTATGTTGGTTATCACTTAGATACATTTCTGGTCAAGACTGTGATGAACATTTATATAAAATGTTGGTTAAACTACAGAATATCTCCAAAATTGCAGCTCAGATTTTGCATGAATAACCTTCCTCATGCTCCGCTGGTCAAACTTCAGCATGTGACTCAATGTTTTTATTATTTTAGATTATATAGTTGATGTTCCTCCAACAAAGATGGACATTCAAATTAAAAGTTGAAACCCGAATGGACAAAAAATACTTTGTTGGAGGCGTCATTTCTTTTTTCAAGCATGAAATTCTTTTCAAATTCTACGAATCTCACAAAAAAAATGTGCTCAAGTTGACGTTTTTTAACTTTTAAAGTCTGCCCCCTGGTGGCCACCAGGAGTCTTGCACCATAAAGTCATGTTTTAACATAAGATGAGATAAACTTTGCATGTCAGAAGCTCTGCAGGCCAGACTATTGTCAAACCTATATTTTATGTTCAGGGACAGACCTGTGAGCTGCACATTATGCTTTATTTCAAACTGCAAATTAAACAACAAATATAAAAAGCTAACAAAGAAAGAGAATAGAATGAACCATGTCAATGCAAATGTTTTTTATAAGTCTTATCCTTCTACAAAATAAAGCCTTTGTGCAATAAAAATAATTCCTGTGCTCCTTTGCAAAGTCTACTTTGACTTAAACATAAAAGTCTAATATTTGAGTAAAAACAGCAGCTTGCAGAAATTTTCTCCAGAACACTGTAGAAACCATCGTGTGTGCATTTTTGTGGCTCATCTTCTCCAGCTGCATCACAGAACCAGTAAGTTGTTACTGGGACTGTCTGGAAACCTTTAAATCAGTTCCCTCTGAGGGATTCGTCCACTTTGTCCAGCTGCTGCTGCTCAGATTTACATCAAGCCGGCCTGCAGCTCCTTTCAGTCGACACATGTCCTGACTGTTGTCCTCCTGTAGAGCCTGAAACTTAATTTACTGGTCTTGATGCGGCTCTTCTTAGTTCTGTTCTCTCCGTGGGCCTGACCTGTGACAGAAAGCACCGCTCCCTGAAGGCCCCCGTGCAAGAATCAAACCGCACCGAGGCTCAGCGAGGCTTTTGTTGTGCTGATGAGCCAAGCAATGATTAAAAAGGTTCAATTCACTGTGATGCAAATGTGTGCGCTCGTACACAAGGGTGCACGTTCTTCGTGCTCCGTGTTGTTGGTAATTGTTGCAGAGAGGGACGTTTTGTTGTGGGCATAAATTAAGTTGTAAATAATTCTAAAAAACAGCAACTAGATTGTTAATGTTTCACTTTGAGGCGTCACAGTAAAAGTTTCTCTCCTTCGTTGTATATTTTGTATTTTACATAATCTCTTAGTTTATTTGGTATTGTACATTTTCCAAAGAACATATGAACAGTTGTTTTAATTTTTTATTAGTTTACAAGCAGCTGCTTCCATTCTCGGACAGTTTAAATCATGTCTTCTCTTGGTCATGTTGCACGGTATGAGTGCAGATAAAATGTTCTTACAACTGTTAAACTTTAATGTGAGTGTCTCCAGATGCTCTGTAGTGAATCTGTAACAAGCCCAGCCCTGTTGCATCAGCATTTTGGAGGGTTTTTTTCTAATTATTTATTAAAACTGCATCTCAGAACGTTTTAATTTGTGTAATATTTAAACATCTTTTATTCAAACGCCTATAGGTAAGTTTACCTGTGCTGTCCTTTCTGATGGCTGTGATCAAATAAAACATCTGATAATAAAATAATCACTTTACAGCAAATGCCACGTTTAGTTTTAATCCCTAATTTTCCCTTCGTTGGGTCAAGTCTGTAATCCGGCTGTTTAACAGAAACATGATTTTAATGTGCTCTGGTACTTTGAGGTTTTATTTTTACGTTTAGATGCGAGGAGGTAAAATGAGATTTTAATGGACTTGACCGTGCACGTGCTCAGGAATGTAACGCCGGAGTTCTCCTTAATTAACCTGCTTGTAAGCAACATCCAAATGACACTGACGGGGTTACGTCTCCGCAGAAAATCTCATTAGTGCTTTGTTGCAGCGGATCCAACACACACACACGAGTGTATCCCTGCGATGTGTCTCCGTCCTCAGAGACCGTGTCCCATCTCTCGTTTTCCTCCCTCCCTAATCGGATTAACCCCGGTGGCCCCAGCGGGCCCAGTTTCTCCGTCAGTGAGCGACAGCTCGGCTTCAGCAGCACTCGGCTGCACAAAGAGCGCGCAGGACGAGTCTTTTCACAGAAACCTGTCGCAGAAATCTCTCCCAGCACTAATCAGCGTCTTCAGTCGCTCTGACAAAAGCAAGGCGGCTCTGGGTTTGATTTCTGTCGACGTGCAGTTGAATGCTGGTGTTAGGATTAAAAACGCTCTTTAATGCTGCTGGATTATAAAACTTTATTCATAACCGGCGCAATGTGCACGACATTAATAGATGTTACTGGATTTGTCTTGCTTTGTCACAAGCTGCGTGGAAGAAACAGAATGAGCAGTTAAAGTAGAATAAATTAAATTAATCCCCAATAAAACTGCATTCAAACCGCTAAAATAATTATTTTAGTAAATGTAAAAGTTGTCCAGAGTTTATCTCCTTCCTCCTTTTACTCACACGACTCCGGGTACGTTTAGCTGCTGTATTTTATGACGGCTGTGTCACAAACGTTGTGATTTTATCATTTTAGTGTTTTGATCAGACAGAAGCTTCATTATTTATGAAGGAGGTTATACAGAAACCAAACTGCAGTCAGTCAATCGGTCGACGCTAAGTGTTCAGTGTGAAACATTTAAACAGTTTATATTTGAAGGATAATTGCTGAAACTTGTTTGGACTCAGGTTTTCCTGCGTGAATCTCTGGAGCACCGTCTGGAGAAGCAGAGGGAGGTGGAGGTGCTGAAGGCGGCCATGATCATCCAGGCCCACGTGATGGGCTACGTGGCCAGGTTCGGCTCTGAGCAGCACCGTTCTCCCTCCGAGGGGCCGACGTGCTCACGTCGTCCGGATGAACCCGGGTTTTACCGTGTCTGTCGTTTACAGGAAGCAGTACAGGAAGCTGCTGCAGAGCATCGTGCTCATTCAGAAGAACTACCGGGCTTTCTACTGGAGGAGGAGGTTCCTGCTCCTCCGCTGGGCCACCCTCACCTTCCAGAAGCGCCTGCGAGGCCAGCTGGCCCGCCGGGCTTTTAGCCAGCTGCTGGAAGAGAGGAGGAGAGAGGAGGAGGAGCGCTGCAGGAGGAGAGAGGAGGAGCTGGAGAGGTAGAGTTCTCTAGTTTTAACCCTGTAGCCAGTTTTAAGGCTTTAAACAAGATTTACTGCTCCTTTAAGTCTTTTATTATCATTTAAATTTATTGTGTGTGCAGAGAAAGACAGCGACTGGAGGATGAGAGACTCGCCCAGCAGGTAAGAGATGAATTTTATTTCATTTATTTCTGCAACTTTCAGTGAGAATCAGTGAATTATAAAATACGGTAATCATCAGATTTTAAAGATATTTAATACAAACTCGTTCCGTTAAAGTATTTGAATAATATTTAAGTTCCCACCTTGTATTAGAAGCTTTTTGAAGCAATTACATTTGCAGGATTTATGATTGATTTTTGATTTAGATTTTCTCTGTGACTATAGGAAACAACAGTTGTGCCTGTAAATAAATAACTAATTATACGAATGGCACAGATAACAAACGGAAGCACCGTCTTAAGACGAAATCAAACATATTTATTCTTTTTCAGGCAGAGGAAGCCAGAAGGCTGGAGGAGCTTCACCGTGCTGAGGAGGTTCTGGCTCAGTCTCAGCTTGAAGAAGCAGCTGCTCCGAACCCTGAAACCCTCGAGGAGCTGGAGTCGGCAGAAGTCTTTGAGGAGGAGGCGGAGGAGGCGATCCGCCCACACGAGGCGTCTCAGGTGGAGGAGATCCTGCGGTTGGAACGGGAGATCCAGGCCCTGCAGAGGCAGAAGGAGCGCCAGGAGCTCTCCCTGACGGAGGCCTCCCTTCACCGCCTGCAGCGCCTCCGAGACCAGGAGCTCCGGCGGCTGGAGGACGAAGCCTGCAAGGCGGCGCAGCAGTTTCTCGAGTCGCTGAACTTTGACGAGATTGACGAGTGCGTGAGGAACATCGAGAGCTCCCTGGGCGTAGGGGACGAAGGTGAGAAGGACAATGGACGGAGGAGAGGAAACGATGAAGAGGAGGTCGATGAAGGGTTTGGGGCTGATGACGAGGCGTTCAAAGACTCACCGAACCCTAGTGAACACGGCCATTCGGACGGGCAGCGGACGAGTGGAATCCGAACGAGCGACGACTCTTCTGAAGAAGACCCATACGCCAACGATGGGGTGGTGCCACCACTGCCGCCCACCACCCTGCTGCCTCTGCCGCCTGGGCTTCTGGCCTGCCACAGCGTCTCCTCCAGCGGAGACTCCGCCTACTGCCACCCGCAGGCTTCATCTGAGGCGCCGTCCGACGACCTGGTGGAGCTGATACCGCCGGATGAGGACTCAGACTATGATCAGGACGACTACGATGAAGGCGCCATCGTGTCCAGCGGCAGCATGGCCTTCAGCAACTCCCTCAGCGGTCAGTGGTCTCCTGATTACCGCGGCTCTGTAGGCACCTACAACAGCTCCGGGGCGTACCGCTTCAGCTCTGAGGGGGCTCAGTCATCGGTGAGTTGGATCTTAAAGGTTCATCTTGACCCACAAATCAAAAATAATCTTGTTGATCTAAAAGCTCTGTGAGGTCCAACCCTTCCATTACTCTTCAACATTTGTCCCCTCTAACAAATAAATACATGAAAAAGTGAACATTTATTTAGAAATTCAAGTGTGTAACTTTATCAGGACACTTTTGGCAGCAATGCTTGAAAACATCCTGATGCTGCTCAATAATCCAGGTAGAAAAATCTAATAAAGTTGAGTCAGGTCCTCTGGTAGGATTTAAAAAAAATAAAATATTGTTGAAATGTTTCACCTTGTATCCAAAGGACTTCTTCAGTCTGAGGAGCTGCAACAAACTCAATCTTATAAATAGCACCTTCTCTTAGTGGATCAACCAGTTTGTTGTTGACATCCAGAACCAGCTGTTCACCTGATCAAGGAGGACCATCAGCCTAACGACTGATCGTTAGTGCCCTGACGAAGTCTTTTGGATAAAAGACGAAATGTTTCAACAATTTTTTTTAATCCATCCAGACGACCTGACTTAATAGAATGCTTTAAAACGTTTATAAGTACAGTGGTCCCTCGTTTATCGCGGGGGATCCGTACCCTGAAGACCCGCGATAACGATAAGTGAAAAACCGCCAAGTAGGAATAGTAGTACAAGTAGTAGTTTATTTTATAAAGACGTTTTAAACCCTCCCCATACTCTTGCAATATTCTAAGTAATGTTTCTAAACTCTAAAAGCTCTAAAAGAGACAGAATGTCATGACTTCAGCTCCCTGCCTCCTCTGCTCTTTGCCACCTGCAAGCGCTCTTGGCCACGCCCACTTCTCCGCTCTGCACGGTGATCAGCTGCAGCAGGAAGTTTATCCTGCAGTGTGGACTGCACAAAGCTGCAGCAGGTGGTAAATAATTTAAAATAATTTATTTAAAATAAAAATTCCATGCCGATCGTGCGGCTCATCCGTCAATCAGCCAATTGTGTGTCGTGTCCGATCTTATTTTGAAAAACCGCGATAGAGCGAGTCCGCGATAAACGAGCCGCGACGTAGCGAGGGACTGCTGTGTTGCAATCGTAGAACAAACTGCTAACATGGAGCTTTTGAGCTCTTCGCCTGCAGCCCAGTGATAAATGATGAATTGTGGTTTTAATCAGGGGGCACCCACGTCCAACCGCTCATGTTTGTTCAGGTTGCTGCACTTTGGGCTGCAAGACTGGGCACAGCTCGTCATAAAAACTAACTTTATTCAGCAGATCGTTAACTCTGATAAAATGCTAATTCCCGTCTGTTTCATTGCAGTTTGAGGACAGCGAGGATGACTTTGAGAGGTTCGACACTGACGATGAGTTATCGTACCGCCGGGACTCCGTCTACAGCTGCGTCACTCTCCCGTACTTCCACAGCTTCCTGTTCACCAAAGGTAACTCCTTTCTTAAGGTGGCACGGTGTCCATTCAGCGTTAATGCTGCCGTTTTCTTGTCTTCTGCAAACTTTGTGCTGTTTTAGTCGTTCATGCATCAAATCATTCGGCTGATAGCTGCTATGACTTTTAAACTTTTAAAACGTACACTGTTGGGAGTTTTATTTACTAATAACATCTCCATAGAAACACAGATCCCTTCAGCTCTTTCAAACATGTTGGTCTCTCAGTCTGTTTTACGTTTTCTCTTTGGTACTTAAAGCTAGCCTTCTGCTACTTTTTACTGTCAGCTAGCTTTCTGCTACATTTAGCTAGTCTAGCCTTTTTGAGTTTTTAGCTAGTGTTCTGCTTTCAGCTCGGAGGATGATTTTAATTTTAGCTTTAAGCAAGCCCTTTGCTACTTTAGCTAGCCTTTTGCTGCTTTAAGCTAGTATTTTACTACTTTTCTCTATTAGTGTTCTGCACTTTTTAGCTTTACCAACTCAGTTTCAGCTTCAAATCTAAATGTCGGCAGTCATTCTGTACCATTTTCTTTGTGCTCGGTGTAAAAAAGGAAGAAATTTCTTTAGTTTAACGAAGCGTCGTGCATCAGTTGTCTGATATTTGCTCAGTTTCCCCGATGATGCCTTGTAGCAGAAAAGAATCAGTCTTTCCTCCATCGTCAGGTGGCCTGATGAACACGTGGAAGCGGCGTTGGTGTGTTCTGAAGGACGAGACCTTCCTGTGGTTCCGGGCCAAGCAGGAGGCGCTGAAGCAGGGCTGGCTGCACAAGAAGGGCGGCGGCTCGTCCACGCTGTCCCGTCGCAACTGGAAGCGCCGCTGGTTTGTGCTGCGGCAGAGCAAGCTGATGTACTTTGAGAACGACAGCGAGGAGAAGATGAAGGGGATGCTGGACATGCACAACGCCAAGTACGATGAAAACACGTGGTTTTATTTACATGAACCTGTCCTGACGGCCACACAACCATCAGGACATTAAACGAGCCACAGAGGAGAGGCCAACAATCAAACAAGACGTCAAATCTGAATTCTTGTATTCTGCAGAGAAATCGTTGATAACACGGGTAAGGAGAATGGAATCGACATCGTGATGCCAGAGAGGACCTATCACCTGATCGCAGAGTCTGCTGAAGATGCCAGGTAGATTATTCTCCACCACATTCTCTACACACTCCTGAGAAGAACAACTTCATCCGTGCAGCGCCTGCTTGTGCTTCAAAAGTTACTGAAAACACAAGAGCAGAGATTACAGGTAGATTGCTCTTAATCTGAGATGTAACGATGGCGTTTCCATGGTTACAGCCAGTGGTTCAACGTGCTGAGTCATGTCCAAGGCTCTACAGAACAGGAGATCAGCGAGATGCACGATGAGCAGGCCAATCCCCAGAATGCTGTGGTGAGTACAGGAAATGCTGCAAAGCATTCTGGGAAACACAGTGAAATACTGGCTTTAAAAATGTACTCTGCGTCTGTGTTAGTTTTAGAAATAACTGGATGTCAGAATGTGTCTTTTCCTTCAGAAACTAAGATATTAGCTGGGTTTTTTTATCTTTACCGCCCTCTTTAAATATGGATGTAATATCCCTTTAAAATAGGTGGCGATGGGTGTTTTATTTAAAAATCTATATATAAAGGGACTACTGGTACTACCACTTCAAACTTTAGCTCATAATCTGTAAAACTGATGGTTTTTGTATCAGCTAATGTTAATTAGCTGAGGCAGCCATCTTGAATTGTGTTGACTCCAAATGGTGATGGAGTAGACGTAGAAGCAGTGATTTCTTTCTGATGGTTTCACTACAGTCTGTCCAGTGGTTCACGAGATATTTTGCTAACTATTCTAATACGATTGCTCTTCCTTTGCCTTCATCACACAATAAAACTTTCTTCTTACAGAAATGCCAAATTAAAACATGGAACTTCTTTTTCTGTTCCATCCCATTAAATCTTGTATTGTGGTGTTTGGGGTGGGGATACTTCGTCCTCGTTTGTCCCTTGAAGTGACTGCGCTGCTGCTTTTGTTCTTGGCTGAGTTTGTGTTTGTTGGTGTGGTAATTGGTTCCCAGGGAGCCGACAAAGGTCATTATCCTCCGTCTGAACCGTCCTCCCTTTCACTTTGTCTCCTCAGGGAACGCTGGACGTGGGGATGATCGATTCGGTTTGTGCGTCAGATAATCCAGAAAGGTAAGAAATAATCATCCCAGATTTAGATCTCACCTTGTATCTATGTAAAATTATAAAACCCACCAATCCTCTAATTAACCAAACCTGTTTCGTGTTCCAGACCAAACTCTTTCGTTATAATTACGGCAAACCGCGTGTTGCACTGCAACGCCGACACGCCCGAGGAGATGCACCACTGGATCACGCTGCTGCAGCGCTCCAAAGGAGACGCGCGCGTCGACGGGCAGGAGTTCATCATCCGAGGTACAGTTCGCAACTGAAACTTTCAGAATAAGAGCATGGTCTCACAGAAAGTTGAAGAAAAAAATTTCCTTGAGTTTCACATTTTGTTTAATCATTAAGGCAATTATTTTCAATGTTAGCGTCTGCAAAAATACAAAATATAAATTAAATTGAAATAAGGAGCTTTTATTCTGAAGGTTGTGAAAGCCTCTGCTGTTCATGTAAAAAGACTACATTTACTTTACAGTTACTGATTTGTTTGTGTTCTTCAGGTTGGCTGCATAAAGAGATGAAGAATAGCACCAAAGCGTCACTAAAGCTGAAAAAGCGCTGGTTTCTGCTGACCCACAATTCCCTGGACTACTACAAGAGCTCGGAGCGTAACGCCTTAAAGCTCGGGACGCTGGTGCTGAACAGGCTCTGCTCGGTGGTGCAGCCAGACGAAAAGGTCTTCAAAGAGACCGGTAAGATCGGGAAACTTCCTGAGGAGGATTCACAAACAGTCGGCCATGTTTTTTGACTCTTCCTGTGGCCTCGCTGCCCGACAGGTTACTGGAACGTGATCGTGTACGGCCGCAAACACTCGTACCGTCTCCACTGTAAGCTGCTGAACGAAGCCACGCGTTGGGCCAACTCCATCCAGAACGTCATCGACTCCAAAGCACCCCTGGACACGCCCACCCAGCAGCTCATCCAGGACATCAGGGTAGGAAGCGTCTAGAAGAAAGACGGTGTCACGTTTGTCATTTCCTGTTGGAGAGGCTTCTGAACGTGATATAAAACTTTAAAGTTTCTTTGCTGTCTGCAGGAAAACTGTCTGAACTTGGAGGTGGTGGAGCAGATCTACAAGAGGAACCCCATCCTGCGTTACAGCCAACACCCGCTGCATTCACCGCTGCTGCCGCTGCCCTACGGAGACATCCACCTCAGTGGTGAGACGCGCAGACGCAGCAGATCAGATGGAGGACCGGGCGGTCCTTCAGTGAATGCGTTCCACCTGTCATGTCGGACTTTAAGTGAAATCCTCCTAAAACGAGAGAGTTGTAGCCATTTTGATCAAACCGCACAGATGATCGATTACTTTGTTTCATCCAGTGGTTCAAGAGATATTTAGCTAACAGAGAGTGCAAACAGATGTTGCACAGCGTGTGGTGCATTTTGGATGAGCTGTAAAGAATCGCATCTTTATATTTATTTGTTTCTTGAAAGTAGAAAAAGAGGATTATGCTTCCAGAAACAGTTCACTAAAATGTACAGAGGAGCGTTAATAGATGTAAAAATATCACCTGGCTCACAGTGAACTTTTAGTTGCTTTAAAGTCCTTTGCACTCAATTTACAGTTGTTTTAATTCAAAGTGTTTTTAATAATGTAAAGAAGAGAGTTTGATAATCATCTTGTTTGAGGTAATGTCAACTTCAGGCCAAACATAACCAAGCTAACTTTACTGCATTAATCACGAAGCCCTTCCTTCCTCAGCTCCAAAGAGCAGGAGCTACACGACTCTGCAGGACGAAGCCCTCAAGGTGTTCAGCTCTCTGCAGCACCTGGATGGAGTGGCTGACCCCGTCCCCATCATCCAGGGCATCCTGCAGACTGGCCAGGAGCTCAAAGCCCTGCGCGACGAGCTCTACTGCCAGCTGATCAAACAAACCACACGGCCGCCGCAGCCCGGGAGTCCTGGGAACCTCTGCAGCTGGAAGATCCTGGCCTGCATGTCCTGCACCTTTGTCCCCTCAAGGAGCGTACTCCGATACCTCAAGTTCCACCTGAAAAGGTGAGCAGCAGGCAGATCCCTGGGCGTGCTGGACTCATGAACCATATAAACGGACGTTGGTGTAAACTCTCTGCAGGACTCGGGAGCTGTTCCCCGGCTCAGAGATGGATCGTTACGCCGCCTTCGCCCTCGACTCGTTGAAGAAGACTCGAACCAGGGAGAACGTGCCGTCGCAGGAGGAAATCCGCTCCATCGTGGCCCGACAGGAGATGAGCACCACGGTTCACTGCCACGGAGGGGGCTCCTGCAAGATCACCATCAACTCTCACACCACTGCAGGAGAGGTGGGTCGACGACACCACCCGCTGCACCCCCGACACAGCAGGCGCTTACGTTCATACACGTACATACGCAGTTTGTCCTTTTTGACTCGTTTTTACAAACCAACCAGGTATTTTACTGGTCCAGCCTTTATCCTGTTTAGAATAAATAAAGCTAGATAATCACAAAAATCATTCCTGAACAACACAGTCCAGAAATCTGACCAGTCCAGCTGCTTCCTTTAAAGCTTCAGCGTTTAGTTTTGTATGTTGAATTTGTGGAAATTCGATCGTAACATTTGAATTAATGTGTTTTGATCATTAAATCTACAGATTTATGTCCTGAGAGTCGGGCTCCATGTAGACATGAGCAGATGCTAAAATCACTTTTAAAAGTTTTTCTCTCAGAACATTTTACGACGTGTGAACTGAGCAGATAAGGCAGACTTTCAGCTAGTTGGAATAAATTTTGTATCTTGATGCCACTAAATTCTTTGCTTATTCATGAATTTTATTCAAACTCAATTCAATTCAAAAATACTTTATTAATCCCAAAGGGAAATTATTTGTTGTTCTGACTCGTTATCCTCATTTCATTAAGAGACGTTATAGATGCTGATGCTGTAGACAGGAAGGATCTCTTGTAAAGGTCCATCCCACAGTGGATCCTAAGAAACTGGCTGCAGATGCCGTCTGATCCGTCCACCCAGACTCGGCTGGCCTCTTGGTTCCCCTGGACTGTAGGACCGCCCGAATGCTGGGCAGAACTCCTCCCAGAGCGATGGCCACTCCTCCCAGCAGTCTGCCGAGCTCCTCGTTGCTGCAAACAGCTGGCTGCAGGTGTCGGGATGATCCTGTCCTTCTGCTGTCATGAGCCGTGTTTCCTGCTAGTTCCAGGATCTCTGTGGTCAGACACTTGAGCACAGCTGACAAGGAGATGGAAATGCATCTATGGCACCTCCTTTTCATCTCGTTTGAGATTTGAGGCTGTAGTTGAGATATTATTTGAGCTTTTGAGATGTTAATCAGCTGTTGGTTGTAGAAAACTGCCTTGTTGCCATGGTTACGCATCATAACAAATGTCCAAAACTAAAAAAGTTTCAGTAAAAATCCTTCCAGCTGCACAGCATCTGATACCAGAGGAAACAATCATCCAAGAAATGTGATTTACATCCAGAAAAAGAAGAACTAAAGTTTCCAAAACAAAATCTCATAAAGAAAGTAACAGAGCTGCTCCAACATGCTTGAACCTTGAGCGGCGCAATGTAATGTAATGTAAAATAATAAAAAAAACAAAATGTATATTTTTTGGCATTTGGCGCTTTTTCTGTATGTTTAAACATTTACTTTTAACCATTGTACTTGTTACAGTTAACATTTGTACCAGAAGAAATTTATTTCTCTTTTGTCTTAACTACAAATAAAAAAAAACACTAAGCAACAAAAAGGCACAACGTAAATTGCTCATGTCTCAAATCTTTGAGAATAAATATCCTAATTCATTAAATAATTCAGTTTAAATTAGAATAAAAACTAGTAAATCCCTTAAGATGCTAAATGAGGTTGTAGAAGTACCAAAATAAATACTTTCAGTAAAAATAAGAACCAAGATAAACATTAAAAGCAGCTTTGATGTCTTTGTCTTTTCAAGGTTCTTCAGTTTGGGACATACGGCAGCACTTTTACGTTTTCTTTCTAAAAGCCCGACGTCCTGCTCGTGGTTTATAATCTAAACGATGCGACGTGTTTGCTCCGTGTCAGGTGGTGGAGAAGCTGATCCGCGGTCTGGCCATGGAGGACAGCAGAAACATGTTCGCTCTGTTCGAGCACAACCACAGCACGGAAAAGGCCATCGAAAGTCGCACGGTGGTGGCCGATGTGCTCGCCAAGTTCGAGAGGTAACCGTAGCTCCTGTTTAAGTGCAGCCTGAAGGACTTTAGTCTCGTTGCTCGTCAGTAACGCTCCACATCTGTGGTCTGCAGACTGTCGGCGAGTCCGGACGAAAACAACACCGCCTGGAAGTTGTACTTCAAACTCTACTGCTTCCTGGACACCGACAGCGTTCCTAAAGACAGCGTGGAGTTCGCCTTCATGTTCGAACAGGTAAACATCAGATTATTAGATTATTGTTAATGAAACAGTCTGGGGTCAATGTGTTCCTAAAAATAAAATTAGAGTTTAATTTCTAAAGCAAATGTTCATGAAGTTCTTTCAGTAGCTGACTCTGTTCTTCCTTAGATAGAGAACTTTACTAATTGTTTTTTTATGTATGTGAATGTTCCTGTAAAGTTCCCTGAGACAACTTTGTTGTGATTTGGCGCTTTATAAATAAACTGAACTGAATTGTGCAACCAGGAGCATGAGCATCAAAAATATTATTCTGTTATTGTTTACCGACCGAGTTTCACTGGAATTGTTTCATCTCGTCTCTTAAGGCCCACGAGGCGGTGATTCATGGTCACTATCCCGCCCCCGAGGAGACTCTTCAGTTTCTGGCGGCCCTGAGGCTTCAGTACCTCATGAGTGACCAAAACTCCCAGACCAGCGTCCCGGAGATGAGTCAGGTGTTCCCTATGGCTCGCCTCCGGACCAGGGTGCAGAACTCTGCCAGGACGTTCACACCGGGCACCGGCTCGGTGGCCGACCGCTCCGGAACGTTCGACAGGAAACGCTCGAGCTTCCTGGAGGGCACGCTGAGGCGGAGCTTCAGGAGCGGCTCGCTAAGTCGGCAGAAGCTGGAGGAGGAGAACAGCCTGGAGGTGTGGATGAGGGAGGAGGCGGCGGCGATGAAGACCAGCGTGATGGAGAAGTGGAGGAAACTGCAGGGAATGAACCAGGGACAGGCAATGGTCAAATATATGGCGCTGGTGAAGGAGTGGCAGGGATATGGATCCACGCTGTTCAACGTCGAGGTGACGACCAACACATTGACTTAGTCTGAAGTTTAACAACAGTCTGTGAGCAGCTTTCATCGTTCAAGTGCTGATGCTAGCTTCCTGTCATTTCAGAGTCGGGACGGAGCGTTCCCCTCCGAGCTGTGGTTGGGCGTGAGCAGAGAGTCCATCTCGGTGTACAAACGAGGGGAGCCGTGGCCTCTGGAGGTGTTCCCCTACGAGCAGATCCTTTCCTTCGGCGCCCCTCTGCCCAACGCCTACAAGATAACTGTAGAGGGTCGAGAACTGGTGTTCGAAACACACATGGTTGGTACTTCGTTTGTAACGTCTAAAGGATTAAGCCTTTCTAAAATCAAACTCCGGTCTTGAAAAGGTCAAAGTTCATAGTTGCTCCTCGTCTCGTCTGCAGGTCATGGACATCGCCAAGCTCATGAAGGCGTACATCAGCATGATCGTCAAGAAGCGCTACAGCAACTGTCAGTCTGTCAGCAGCCATGGGAGCCAGTGTAGCGCCTGGTGAACTCTGACCTTTAACCTTTGGCCTTGAGTCCACGTGCCTGACTGCAACTGGAGGGTCAACATGGACGCCGATCCCCAGTGGCTCTGAGTGCCGGAGCTGAACCACAGCACTCTCACTCTGCTCAGAACTTCATTCCAAAACTTTACACGTGATCTCCTCTGCCTAAGTGCCCTGGAGCAGTGCATGGAGCTGGAAGTGCATGCTGTGTCAGCAGCTGTGGGAGGAGGAGAAGCTGCACCTCTGGCAAACTCAGATGCAAAAAGTTTGTAGAGACGAACTTTTTTAAACAATTGGTAGATGCTACACTGTAACTAAAGCAAATCTATCAATTCTAGCTCTAGACCAGTCGTCGTTTAATGAAGTTAACTGTTTTTGTACTGAGTCCTGTTCCAGAGCGCCGAGAACGTTTGAAATGAGCAGAAGGTGAAAAAAAGACCAAAGAAATGCAGCCATGTAAAAAGTTACTCCATTTCAACGCGTCTCGGGTCCTAACGGCGTTTTGGAAATGCTCCTGATCGAGTTTAGACGCCAGACTTTTAAATAATCAAAACAAACTAAATCCTCAGTTTCATTAGATAAATCTTTAAGTGCAGGCATCAGTGAGGCCGGGTCAAAGGTCAATCAAAGGCACGTTCACTTCAGCTGCTGCTGTGAAGGAAGGTGCTTCGTGAACAGCAGCAAACATCAGCCTGTTGTTTGATTTGAGCCATTTCATGCTGAAGTTTGACAACTGGTGTCAAAGATATCTGTTAAGAGTCAGCAGTCAGTTGTGTTGGTGGTTTACAACAAACATCATCCTGAAGCCGTTCGGAAATAACCAAACATGCAGCAGACTTCGTCTTTAAGTTCGTTTGTCAACTTTAAACAGACGTTCTGCAGTTAGACTGCGCCACTGCATCAGCACCAACACAAGCTTCAAATGTTGCTTCAGACACAAAACCTAGAAATAAACGAGAAAGATGCTCCGATGATGCAAAGAGCCTCAAAGTAAAAACCACTCCCGGCGTCAGAGGTTGTTCCACCACAGAAATCCTCCTCACCATCACTCCGCTGTGCTTCGACTCTGCTATGGTCATAAACTTGTGAAATAATTAAAATATTTGCTGCTTTCCTCAGTGACAGCTGAGCTGAACGACTGACCTTTGACCTTTCCGGTTCCAGTCTTAAAGGTGCTTGAACGTAAGGATTGTACAAGTTCTCCTTCATGAAGACCACTGGAACACTTAGAATGATGCTTTTTAAAGCTGAACGTGGTTTATATTCTTTCTGACCATGTTTAACCGCTCAACTCGGCAGCAGTTTTAGACGTTTAAACTTAAAACAAAGATTTTACTTCAACATTTACGTTCGTTTTAGAGTTAAGCAGCCCATAGCGAGGGAAGGAAGGATAAAGTGATTGACAAGCACCAACTATTTGGGGAAATACAGTTTCTCTTACCAAAGAAAACCAGCTACCACTACATTTCATTAGAGCTAAACTGTTTATAAGAATATGAATGTAAAAACAGCATAAATACCTGATTTTTATTTTAACAAGGCTCAAAACCAGTTTGCTCTGCAAGGAGAGGTTCTGGGACTTTAATCGGGACGATGCATCTTCTGTAAATATGCAACTTTTTCTTCTCTCAACTGATTTGTGTTGATAAAAAACAGATCCCAAGTGCCTGTTTGAGCTACAGCAGGATGAACTTTTCATTGATCCATCACCAGGATCCAACTGGTGCTCCAACGTTCCTTTACCTGCTCATGTATTACACAGCCACTTTATTAGG